CCCGGCGGCCCGGGGCCGACGCCGAGGAGGCCCTCCCGCCCGGGGACGTGGTGGGGGTGTCCCGGAGCTCAATTCTGACCTCCTCGCTCTTCAGCACCTCCTTGAACTCCCGCTTGATTCGCTGCACCGCGATGTTGGCCATGTCTCCGCCCGCAGCTGATTCGTACCCGCCTCCTCCGCCACCGCTACGACCACCACCACCGCCGTCGCCGCCACCGCCTTCTCCACCGCCTCCTCCTCCCTCGGTGATTCAGACCCGAGCACCCGAACGCTGCCACTGCCACCCTTTCCGCCGCGCTCTCCTCAGTGTAGAATCACCTCCGCGCCCGGCCACCAAAATGGCGCCGGGGCCGCGCATGCGCACGACGCTGGCCCGATGGGCGGCGCAGCCGCTCCCGTTGTCGCCCCCTTACGCCTCAGCAGCGAGCCCGCGCTGCGCCGCGCCGCGCCACGCCGCGCGCCTCTGCGGGAGCTCGAGCTGCGTGGCTCCGCCCTGCCGGCGTCGCGAGCGGCGAGGGTGTGGCTTCCCCGCTGGCCCGGCCCGGCCGCGGCCTCCCCCGGCCCTCCGTCCTTTTCTCTCTCCCTTTGCGCCTGTGACTCTTTTCCCGCTGACCTCGGACCCTCGGTCCGCGCTGGACCTGACGGCTTCCTGCCGTCCTCCGCGGCCTGCGCCGCCCAGGCCCGGCAGAGCCTCGTAGTACGTCGTCTCTAGCCTAGGCAAAGCCATCCTCGAGTTCCGACCTGCCCATCGGCGGTGGGTATGGCCCCCAGAAAAGGCACTGCGGCTTGCCTTTGTTCTGGAACCGTTACCATGCCGCGATTATTCCATCATCTCAGGTATTACGGATGGTTGCGGATACTCCTGAATGGCGGGGTCACACCGGGTGGACTGCAGACAGGTGTCCGGTGGAGAGGCCTGTAGTGGGTTTGGAAGGCAGATGTTGACCCTGTCGTGGGTTTCGAAGGCACATGGTGACCTTTACTCTAGTTAGATCATTAGCACTCAGCTTTGCAACGACATGCCTGGGTGTTCAAACTTGAGTGTTCCTCAGAATTCCTGGAGAGTTGATTAGAGGGATCGCTGGGCCCTTTTCCTCGGATGATCGGGGAGGGGGAGTGATTTATATTTTTCATAAACTCACAGCTACTTGGGGTGATGATGAGGGGAGGGGGGTGGTTGTGGTTCTAATAGGGCCACACACGCGAAATTAAGGCCTATGGAGTTCAAGAAATTTTAAGTTTCTTGGGAACTGGTTCAGGAGGAATGAGCTTTACATCCACAAACCAAGGCCCTAAAATGTGTACAGTGCTACTAGGTGCTAAATATTTAGCAGTGAGTAAAAAAATAATAAAATACTTTTTTTTTTCTTTTTTGTCGCTCCTGGGGCTTCAATTCTGGGCCTGGGTGTTGTCCATGGACTGCTTTTGCTCAAGGCTAGCACTAAGCCAAAGCTGCACTTCCAGCTTTTTCTGTAATTGTAGATGAGAGTCCCACGGCCTTTCTTGCCCAGGCTGGCTTTGAACCATAATCCTCAGATCTCAACCTCCTGAGTAGGTAGAATTATTGGTGTGAGCTACAGGTGCCCGATTGAAACATACTTTCTTTTTGTTTTTTAAATTTTTTTTTTTTTTTGGTCAGTTGTGGGGCCTGAACTCCTGGCCTGGGCACTGCCCCTCAGCTCTTCAGCTCAAGGCTAGCGCTCTACCACTTGAGCCACAGCACCACTTCCAGCTCTTTTTTCTTTTTGCTTATGTGGTGCTGGGGAATTGAACCCAGGGCCTCATGCATGCAAGGCAAGCACTCTACTACTGAGCCACCTTCCCATCCCTAAAATATCTTCTTATAAAAGAGACCACATCCCAGTGCTGGTGGCTCACGCCTGTAATCCTTGCTATCAGGAGGCTGAGATCTGAGAATCAAGGTTCCAGCCTGCCCAGGCAGGCTGAGACTCTTATCTCCAATTAATCACCAGAAAACCAGAAGTAAAGCTGTGGCCTAAAGTGGTAGAGCACTAACCTTAAGCAAAAAATGCTCAGAAACAGCATCCATGCCCACGACTGACCAAAAAAAAATTAGCCTGTTGTATCTCACACCTGTTAATCCTAGTTTACTCAGGAGGCCCAGATCTGAGGATCATGGTTTGTAGTTGTTGATAGTGTCTCCAGTTAACCACCAAAAAGCTGGAAGTGGAGCTGTTACTCCAGTGGTAAAGCTCTAGCCTTGAGAGACAGTGCCTAGGTTCTAAGTTCTTCAAGCCCCAAAACACATGTAAAAGACCGCAAACTAGTATGTGATAGCTCATGCCTGAAATCCTAGCACTTGAGACTGAGGCAAGAGGATGGGAACTTCCAAGCCAGCCTGGGCTATAGAATGAGATCCTATCTCATCATAAATAAATGAACTGGGCTGAAAAGCTGGCTCAGTTGTAGAGCGCTTGCCTTGCATACAGGAGGTCCTGGGTTTGATTCCTCAGCACCACATAAGCAGAAAAAGCCGGAAGTGGGACTGAGGCTCAAGTGGTAGAGCACTAGCCTTGAGCTGAAGAGCTGAGGGACAGTGCCCACGCCCAGAGTTCAGGCCCCATGACTGGACCCCCCAAAAAAAACCATAAATAAATGAACTAATGAATAAACAAATAGCATTCACAAATACGTGGTCTTAACAAAAGTACTAAATCCTGCCCTCCATTGGAAGTAAATCATTTAGTGGAGGCATGTGTAAAAAGAGGTGGGTTTTTTTCCAGTTATTATAAAGATGATATACATAAGTCAGATAATGAACACATTTGTTTTTCTGTGGGTTTTTGTTTGTTTGTTTTTGCCAGTCCTGGAGCTTGAACTCAGGGCCTGGTCACTGTCCCTGCGCTTCTTTTGCTCAAAGCTAATGCTCTACTACTTGAGCCACAGCCCCACTTCTGGCTTTTTTTTTTTAATTGTGAAAATACCTGCTGAGGGGTTACAATTACATGAGTCTTCTAGCTTTTTCTGTGTATGTGGTACTGAGGAATCAAACCTAGGGCTTCATGCATACTAGGCAAACACTCTACCGCTAAGCCACATTCCCAGCCCAAATGAGTACATTTCTTTTTGAACAATGTCACTTCTTCCCTTGCTCTCTCCTAAAAAGCCTTTTGTTGTTGTTTTATTTTTTGTTTGTTTGTCAGTTGTGGGGCTTGAACTCGGCCTGGTCTCTGTCTCTCACTTCTTCAGCTCAAGGCTAGTGCTATTCCACTTGAGCCACAGCGCCACTTCTGGTTTCCTGGTGGTTAACTGAAGATAAGAGTCTCTCAAGCCAGGGGCTGGCCTGTAATCCTAGCTACTCAGGAGGCTGAGATCTGAGGATCCGGTTCAAAGCCAGCCTGGGCAGGAAAGTCCGAGAAACTCTTACCTCTAATAAACCACCAGAAAACCGGCAGTGGCACTGTAGCTCAAGTGGTAGAGTGCTAGCCTTGAGCTGAAGAGCTGAGGGACAGTGCTGAGGCCCAGAGTTCAAGCCCCACAACCGACAAAAAAAAGTCTCGGGCTGGGATGGTAGCTGGGCTCCATTCCTCAGTACTACATAAGCAAATGAGGGACAGTGCTGAGGCCCAGAGTTCAAGCCCCACAACCGACAAAAAAAAGTCTCGGGCTGGGATGGTAGCTGGGCTCCATTCCTCAGTACTACATAAGCAAAAAGAAAAAAGCCGGAAGTGGTGCTGTGGCTCAGTAGTAGAGCGCTAGCCTTGAGCTGAAGAGATGAGGGACAGTGCCCAGGCCCAGAGTTCAGGCTCCACGACCAGACCCCCCCCCCCAAAAAAAAAAAAAAAAAGTCGCACAGACTTTTTTGTCCAGGCTGGCTTTGAACTCCAATCCTCAGATCTTAGCCTCCTGAATAGCTAGGATTATAGGTGTGAACCACTACTGCCCCTCTAAGAGATTTTTTTTTTTTGGGTCGGTCGTGGGCTTGCACTCTGGGCCTGAATGCTGTCCCTCAGTTCTTCAGCTCAAAGCGAGCGCTCTACCACTTGAGCTACAGAGCCACTTCCGGTTTTCTGGTGGTTTATTGGAGATAGGAGTCTCACGGTCTCTCCTGCCTGGGCTGGCCTTGAACGGCGATCCTCAGATCTCAGCCTCCTGAGTAGCTAGGATTACAGGCGTGAGCCACCAGCGCCCGGCTCTAAGAGATTTTTTTAAGGAATGTTTTGAAAAGCTAGCTGAGGGGGCTGTGAAGGTGGCTCAGTGGTAGATGCTTGCTTCTCATGCATGAGGTCCTGGGTTCCATTCCTCAGCACCACATAAGCAGAAAAAAGCCAGAAGTGGCACTGTGGCTCAAGTGGTAGGGCGCTAGCCTTGAGCTGAAGAACTGAGGCACAGCACGTAGGCCCAGAGTTCAGCCCCTATGACTGACCAAAAAAAAAAAGCTAGCTGAGGCTAACCTCAAACTCAGGGTATTGCTCATTCTGCATCCCAAATGCTGGAATTACATGCATTTACTACCACTTCCAGGCTCAAAAGGGAGATTATTCAACTCCCCAGAAATCAAGGAAGAATTACTTTTCTGATTTTCTCTCATACCAGTTCTCTTAGGCAGTTTTGGTTTCCTCATCTGTAAAATAAGCAAGTTGGATTAGATCACCTTTTTGTTTTAAAAATTCAGAATTCCAAAGCATCTCAAAACATTTCTCTTAAATTGACTGACATATTATAAACCCTGCTAGCAGAGCCCCCTGGTGGTCCTAAAAGAACTCAGCTATATTGCTATATTGTACATAGGCCACCTTACAATGAATTATTGCCATGATATAACCACACAACTATCTATATACATGTCAATACATTTAAAACATTATCACCAGGCAGCCGTGGCTCTCACCTGTAATCTTAGCTACTCAGAAGGCTGAGAGCTGAGGATTGTAGTTCAAAGCCAGCCTGGCCAGGAAAGTCTATGAGACTTTTTTTTTTTAAGGTAATGGGCTTGAACTCTGGGCCTGGATGCTGTCCTTGAGCTCTTCGGTTCAAGGTGAGTGCTCTACCACTTGAGCCACACTGCCACTTCTGCTTTTCTGGTGCTTAATTGGAGGTAAGAGTCCCATGGACTTTACTTCCCGGGCTGGCTTTGAACCATGATACTCCTATCTCAGCCTCCTGAGTAGCTAGGAGTACAGTCGTGAGCCACTAGCACCCAGCCCATGAGACTCTTATCTCCAGTTAACCACCAGAAAATCAAAAGTGGCACTGTGGCTCAAGTGGTAAAGTACTAGCCTTGAGCTGAAGAGTTCAGGGACAGCACCCAGGCCCAGAATTTGAGCCCCATGACTAACAAAAAATAAAGATTAAAAAATAAAACATATTATCTTGAGCTTTGAAGGAACATTTGAAATATATCACTATAATTTTATAA